GATCGCCCCTAACACAGAACCTGAAACAAGAACCTGTGTAGCATGTATGTGTTGGACTGTGAAGGCTTGACATGCAGATGATGATGATGTTCAAAGTTATGAAAGGCAAAGGAAAAAAAGGCCAAATTTAAAATTAGGAGCTGTCAAGAAAAAGCTTTTGAAAATGGGCCGGCGTCGGTTGTGGAGACTGTAATAATTACTGACCAATTACAGCCTGGTGGGTCAATACAGCAGGTTTCACTGCAGTGTGATGACTCACGCTGGTTTGTGTAAATATTTAGGACTAGTGCGTCCTATCTGCTGCATTAAACGGTAAAGCTTTATTAATTTCTCCATCATTTACCAGCTACAAACCACAATTTCTGCCTTTGTTGTTAACCTGTAACGGCTCGTCCTGTAAACTCAGGCAGCAAATCAACTTTAATAAATGCAGATGATAGCAGTCATGTTGAAATGCATTAGTTGCCATTATCTACGTTGCCTAAGTGTTTTTTCGTTTGTTGTGGATGATTTTTAAACTCCAGTATCGTCTTTTGTGCAGTAGAAGCGCTCGCAGCTGCGTTATGTAAACCTTATGTAACTGGATCGTTTATTTCCACGTGTCCTTAATGAATTACCATCACCAGCGCTCACCAAATGTTGGGGAGTAAGGCGATAACACATGCAGGCGATGAGTCAGCGGCAGCCGCTACTCAAAAGCATCCCAGCTGTGGTGGCAGCGGCCCAGCGGGGGCGGCACCGGCCAGGCCGGGTCACCGCGGTGGGCTTGTGACCGTGTGGTTGTCGGTTTGATTCCCCAGATAGCTTCTGCACAGCGGCGGTCTTTACTGTGACTCAGCTTGAAGCTCCTCTGTGACTCAGAACTTTGTTCAACCAGAGCTTTGCTGATGGCGTGGTGGTCGTGACTCCGCTAACGCCACGCTCGCCTGCATGCATCATAACTCCTCCACTTCTGCAGGTAACAAACCCACAGGTGTGACACGTCTTCAACTTCTGAACATGGTTTGGTTCTTCGGTTTAAAAGTGAACAATTGACATTTTTTGACATGAATGAATTATTTTGGGCATTGTGACAGAACTTATGCTCCAGTTGTTGAACATTTGCACAAGACGGTCTGTTTCACTCTGATCTGTGGATCATCATATATCCTCCAAATATCTGCTGACCTCCATCTGAGCCCAGAAAGGACCCAAAGATTTTTCCATTTCTTCAGGACAAATTGTATGTCTAGAAAAAAAAAAACATTGGGCCCTGGCATTCGGGGTTTTGTGCATCAGGCATAAGAAACCTTCCAGATGAAGTATGCAGAGCAGCTGCTCTGGTAACTTTTTGTTAACCAACTGAAAGTGGCCTCATTTTTTTATTTATGTATTTATTTATTCTGTTTCCTAATGTGGGCATACAGACAGCTGGTATGTGCAGACATGGATGGATGACGTTAGGATTAAAAACTGGTATAAAATGTAAAGTTTGCTCTTTCAACACATTTTTTTTATTTGATGTGATTGATTAGCATTCAAATATCTCAATGAATACAGAACAAAGATCTACCACAAAGCAAGAAAGCATGAGACAAGGCTAATCTAAAGGTATTGGCTGAAGCATTTGCTTATTACGCCAACCCTTTAACAAAAGATCTTTTTGCATGCAGCTCCTGTACACAGGGCTCGAAGCAAAGAATAAAACAAAGCAAAAACAAACAAACAAACAAACTTTCCACCTTAGATAAGTAACTACATCAAAGCAAAACAGTCAAGAGTTTCAGTTATTATTTTTGCTCTTTTCATTCTTGATTTATATATTTTTCTAATATTTTTAAACATGTTTTTAAACAAGGAAAATGAACTCCACCTTTTTAAATCACTGTCATAACTATTCCACAGGTTACCTCCTCTAACAGAAACACATCTCTGCTTTATATTTGTCCTTATCTTGTTTTTTTTTTAAAGAAATCTGTTCCCCTTAAGTCATATTGACTCTCTCTGACTTTGAACAGCTTCTGAGTACTGGGGCAAAGCAAGTTATTTTGTGCGTTATAATTATCTGTGCCATTTTATATTCAACTAAATCATAAAATTTTAGGGTATTCAGATTAATAAACAAAATGTTAGTATGATTGGTTTATAATTCTTACAGCTCTTTTTTGTAACTTGAAAATAGGAAGAGTGTTTGTTTTACATGCATGAGCCCATATCTCCAGACAGTAAGTCATATATGGAAGCAACAGAGTACAGTAAAGTGTGTGTAATGATTTTTTATTCAGGACATGCTTTGTTTTATAGAGAATATCGATGGTTTTTGACATTTTTGTTCTCACATGGTTTATATGAGACTTCAAGCTCAGCTTATCATCAATTATCACTCCAAGAAATTAATTCCATTCACCCTGATTTTAGATACATTTTCATTTGTCTGGTGCCAAAAATAATCAATTTTGTTTTCTTTATATTTAATGATAACTTAATTACATCAAACCAGTTTTTTAATATATTTAACTCCTTTTCCGCTGTAGTTGAAATGGAGACCCAGCGAGGCTGCGTCTCACAGCCAGGTCGTCTTAAATCCATCACGTGACTCGGACGTGGCGATGTGTCCGTTGGCTCCAGAGAATTAAATCTTGTCTTTTAAATAACTGGTTGTTGTGCACCGTGTTTTATCTGTTCACCGATCATTTTGTGCGTGTTTAGTGAAAACATTAATATGAATCAGCAGCATTCTGACTGTGGATCTGAGCTGTGTGTGGAAATACTTGTGCATCTCTATTGTGATCTCAAGTGATCTGTCACTCTGCATCAGTCTGTCAGCTTGTAGCTGCTGGCATTGTTCTGAATGAATTATTGTTCAGATGACTAATATACTGTAGAGCATAAAATACAGAAGACTGTGAATGTTGTCCTTGAATTGACGACAGCTGGTCTCGTTGGTGTTAGCTGCATAGTTACATTTCACGTCTCAGCTCATCCCTACACATGTACGCACATGCTGTGTCGATGCGACCTGCAGCTATTGTGATTGGCCCGTTCAACAGCGTCGATTCCTCCTGTGCATGTCCAGATACTTCTTTGAATTT